TAGATTACCTTCCAGCAATATGAATGCAGCAAGAAGCTTTGTATAGTTCATAATTAGCACAAACAACCACAACTGCTGACTTTGTTTCTCTGCAGCGTGCTGGACTTTTCCCCACATTTGATTTATTATCTTTGTATTCACGATTACATGGAACTGACTTTTTTCACCCTGTACTGGTAAGCTAAACAAACCATCTCTCATGCTTTGTGTAAAATGCCTCAATACAAACACATACTTTGGATTCTATAACTGATTGTCAACAGCAAAGTTACATGTTTTACTTGACAAACAACTTAATGGTGATACTGTGATAACCATTTAGCTGGGATACTACAAGTTCCTGTGCTATTTTTCAATATCCATCAGAAGTTTCTAGCGCTATAAAAACTCAGTCCTGAGGGAAGAACTCCCCTGGGTTTTGCACTAAAACGAAACAACTCGTCAGCAGGACTGAGAAAACTGCCCAGATCCCAGATACCATTAGTTTCTAGCACTATAGCTGCTTCATAATTCTTTAGGTGGTTGGTTCAAGCAAATATGTCACAATCTTTTGCATTGGCATCAATTGAACTTCCTTCACAATATTTTCATTTCTTTTGAGGTATCTGTGTATTTGTTCAATTTTCTGCTGCTCAGCTTTAGTTGACTTGCTCAGAATATTGAAGTAGAGTTGCCTTTCGTCTATCTACATTGTATAGGAGGAATAGAATTGGTGGAATAGGCGATTGTATTTCTGAGTCTCATGGGCAGATTATATAGGTGTACATTGCTTAGGAGACAAGAAGGCTCCCTTAGAGATAAGATAAGGCAAACCGGGATTACATGATCCTAATCTACCATATCTGGAGATATCATCTCTTGAATAGCTTGTTATCATATTTAGTTTGCTCCCACCAAATGTATATCAGTGCTTTCTGGCTCTTTGCAGCTACTTCTTATGATCAGAAAATGTGTATTAGTTTTCATTTTGTTGGGCTGCAGGAACGTTTCTTGGAGAAGGCTAAACTATCACCAGACTATTTTATTGCTGATTGTGAAGATATGCTGGTATATTTTTCAATAAGTGCCTTTTTCTTTATTGGGTCAAATTTTCTACAAGGAAACATTGTATAAAATCAAGATGAAATCGTTTGGGTAGAAATAGACTGAATACCTGCTGAAAAAACAATGACATCGCATTATCCTTAAATTTATAACAATAGTGAACTTTCCTAGGTAGAGTATGTTTTCTGTTAAGTTGCAAGTATAATATTTCGTTAAGTATTATTTCTTTTGTTGTTTTAACAGAAGGTTGCTGCTATAGTTGATGATTTCCCTCTCGGATTGTATGATAAATACCTCTTCTGTATCAGGTGATCTATATTACTGTGATACTGTACCAATCTGTCCTCTTGTATGTATTTTTGAATTGTCTTGCTCCACAACTCTTGTGAACCACTGTTATCTAATTACTTTCCAACTCATATTGCAGTCCAGTGGACATACGTGATGATATATCTGTCCAAGGACTAGTTCAGGTAAGCATTTCTATCTTATTATTTTCCTTTGCTATATTTTTGTGGAACTAGGACACATGTTTCTAATTTCTTCAATATGCAGTTTGCAGAAAATTATGCAAGGAAAGGCATTGTTCGACTTAAAGAGATATTCACACCTGGAACATTACAGGTTCCTAAAACAGACAATCAACTCAAGGAGCTTGAATCTGTTCACAAGGTTATTTATTTGCTCCTAAATTCCTACTGCTCCTGAACCATGAGCAGGCTTTACATCACTGAATAATATCACAATCATTGATGCCTTGTATATATTTATTTTATTATTCTTTCTTGTTCTTTTTGTTGGTGTTTCATGTTGGGTTTCAACTCTAACCTACTGCAACTAGCCTGAGACTAAAAGGCTTTGTTGTTGTTGTAGCAGTAACTTAGTAACTTGTCAGTTCATAGCCATTTACTGTATATATTGTCAACATTCTTCTGAATACAAATTATTATGGTGATCACTTCAGGTCCTAGAGTTATATGTGTGGTTAAGCTTCAGAATGGATGATTCCTTTCCAGACCATGAAGTGGCTGCCTCTCAAAAGTCAATCTGTAGCATGTAAGTTCTTAGATCCATCTAGAACTCTGTTTTTTGGCCATTCTGTAGATCAATTATGTGGTATTTTTGTCTCTGGTAATATCAGGTTGATCGAAGAATATCTGGAGAGGTCAGGATGGCAACCACAAGGCCGAAGAAAGTTTTTGCGTGGAGCACAAAAGCTGCTCCAAGAATACGATGAATCGCAATTGTATGATCTCTTTAATAATTGTTCTCTGTAGTTTTTTTTTAAATCTTTCTTCAAGTAACCATCTTGGTGTTAATGGACAGGCGCAAATATTTTCAAGAAGTCAACCCAGGACCAAAGTAGAAGGCCTATACAATAAAGTGAGTCTCACTACTTTTCAGTCCAGATTTGAGGAACCATCCAGAGCATTTGAGGAACAGGCGCTAATATTCTCATTGGTTATGGATCATCGGCATCGGCACAAAGTGAAACGACATTTCGGATGACAGAAGAGATACGTGGACTCATCTCAAACCATGATCATCTAGATTGATTTGGTAGCACGCATTCCCATCAACCAGATTCTGTTCGACCAGTAGCACTTTTATACCCCAAATGAAACTACACTCCAGTGTAAAGTCATAAGGAAAATAGAGCCATGAGCCCATGACAGGGCCGCTTGTGAGACGGAGATTGCGTATTAACAGGCATGCAGACAGTACTTGTGCAAGCTAACCTGAGTTCCATGAGCAGCAGCAATGGCGGCTCTAATCCTGTATATAAAGAGGACAATAATATTGCTTGTGCTGTTATTCAGTGCAAAATCTGAATGATTATGTATCCATTGACACTTTAGTTTTGTACATAGATTCTTTTCAGATTTTTTGAAGTTTCCCGATGTTACATGTTCACTGCTGATGAGTTGCAAAATTAAGTTCCAAACGATGTTGATGAGGAGGGCAAACATTTATAAATAATGGTTCTCTCCCAAAACCACCGTTACCAAGCTTTATCCATTCCAGTATTTGCCCAGAAAGGGCCCAAAAAATGCCTAGGGCCAAGGTAGTGGTATTTGCCCAGAAAGGCCAAAAAAAAAAAAAAAGTGGGTATCAACCCAAAGAACCGGTATCCACGGTTACCATTAAATTACAGACCCTCGATTAGGGGCAGATCCAGCCCAAAATTCTATTGATGTCACACCATGGCTTAACTTCACATATGAGCATCAATTTATAATGGAAATCAACAGAAATCATTGCTGTCACGTGACAGTAATGAAGAGGGCTGGCTCCGCCCCTGCCCTCGATGCTGTCTGTATTCATCATCTTTCCAAGTCTTGGCCCATTTGTTGCATTGCAGCGGAGAAGCTAGGGCTCCCCTTCGTGTCTACCTACCTGACACCGTCAAGAGAAAAAGGGTTAATAAAAAATCCTGTACAGTTTTCATGTGGTTTTAAACACAAAGATCACAGTTAAAAGATAGATGCCGATGCCGTTATAGCAAAATTATCTAACTAAACCAAAATATTAGCTTGGTGAGGCACAAGGATGTACAAGAACACAAGAATGCCTTAAATAGAGAACGGAAAATAGCCCCATGTTGCTTGTCAAAGGCTCAAAGCAGTTAAAGTTCATCAAAGACAATCATGGTAGTGCATCTTGACATACTCGCCTCACTATGGGCACTGCCTCCGTGAAACAACAGCACGTGTGCAAACCAATGCACCAAGGGTGCACCAGCTGATTTCAACAATGGAACACCAAGAAATTGAATTCAAACACATTGGTTACAATAACACACTACAGTGGCAATTAATATTATAGGTCTGGGCAATGCAAGCAGAGTGAACATCATCTCCAAACCTACGCATTGCAAGAAAAATGCTTAGCTGTTACGGGAATCTATACAGATGGCTTTAAATATAAAGGTGAAAACTTTAGTGATCAAGCCCTGCCTCTAGATCAGTCTAACGAAAAACTGTGCACATCTATGTATGTACTACTACATACGAAAATGAAATGGTAGATAGGAGAGAGCAAAGCTATCAAAGCAGTAAAACCATTCTATATCCATCTTTATATTAGTAAACTAACCTTGTCAATTGATCCGGTTCCAATCTATAAGTTCATATGACTGTCCAATGGTATAAAAAACTGCTGGGAGAAAACCATTGCTATGTTACAAAACAAATTCGAATCAGGCATAAACGAATATATTTGGATTGGTAGGAGTGCACACAAGTGAGACAACATCAGTGGATCAGAAGAAAAAAGGAAGCAGCTATAACCCTGGACAGGATCTATCGCCACTCATCAAGGTACCCACTATTAGGATTGCAGAATTAGCAAAATCCACAATGCATGTTATTGACGCACCATCCTCAAAGTTCAGATATAGTTTCGTGCATACTCTTTTATTAGATAGTCAAGGTTTCACCAGAACAAAGCAGCAGGCTCAAAAATACCCAACAAGATAGTTAACTGGTAAATATACGATTAATGCAAATAGAAAGCAAGTCAAGGTAATTCTTCTTTAACTGAATAAACATTCTCCAAAATTTCTAAAATTATCCTCTGAGCAATATGCTATATGCCCAGTACTAATTGATCCTGTGTTACGTGGAAATGATGTGTGCTAAGTATCCATTGATGGCACGGAGAAAATGGAAGTTTCAAAGCAGCTGACAAAAGGATGAAAAAAGGTTAAAATGCTGGAAAAGTGGAAAGACAGTGCATAGAAATGTTTTAAGCCTGTTCTAGAAGTTAAAAAAAGGCAATAAGTCTCTCTTGGTGCTCCATTTTAATAGATAAATGTGGCTATAATTCTATGGAAATTTGTCTGTTGAACATAAGGTCTGGAGAATGGCTGGAATTTGTAAGCCACATGGATAGGCCACAACATTTCAACAAATAAGTATGTTCATGAAATAGCCCCTGAATATAACTTAGGCACATCACATGATGGCTTCAAGTACATTGTTAGGCTTCACTGTTATTATGTGGGAGTAATTGATGTCCCTGAAGATCCTGAAAAGCATATACACAGTGAGAATTACTGCACCAAAATTCGTATATACTAATAAGGAACCTGCATAAGGCATTACCGCAAACAGTCGTGAAAAGTTCCAAGTAAAAACAAGCATATACTGCCCTTCTCAACTGGCAAGGGTAAAAGGATAGAGATAACTACAAATCGAGGCAAGATTAAGGTGCAAGGAAAAACTGTCCATCCTTGGTTGCTATGTGCATACACATAGATTCTTATTATAAAAGAGAAAAAATGCAAGCAGCCTACGATGAGAAGTACAACATTCAAGTGTAGAAGGCAGAGATTAAACAGATTAACAGTAGTTTTTACAGTGTATGCACAGCTCTGGGTACCCTTTTTTTTCCCATCTATTCAAGATTCAGCTTCACTAGTGTTTGACAATACAGCATAACACTGTCTACCATGACCATCCTCTCTCAAGTAAGATGGAACACCGCTCCTACACCGTACCTTCTGTATGCATCCTGAGAAGCTGAATCTTTCTCACAGCTGAAAGCATGTCCATCTTCTTAAGCTTGTCCAGCACAAGATCAAAGGTCTCCTGCTGTGGAGCAAAGCCCTTCAGCACCATCTCCTCCAAGAATAAGCAGGACTGGGTGAGCCTCCCGCCCGGCATAGCCAGCTCACCAGCAACGTGTATGTACTGAAATCAGGGGTGATGTCCTTCTGGAACATATGGCATATCAGGAACAGAAGCGTCTTCACCCATTGCCTTCTGCAGCATAGCTTCAGCAAGGGGGTGTACGTCTTGATGTCCGGCTTGCATGACTGTTCTTCCATCTGAACCAACAGTTTAAGTGCTTTCTCAGCCTGAGAGTGATCACAGGCAGCAGAAATCAGGGTATTAAAGGTAGTCAAGTTTGGGGATATTCCAGTTCGGTGCATTTCTTCGACCACAAAATTTGCATCTTGCAACCTCCCAGCTCTGCAGAGTATGTATATAAGAGAGTTGTAGAAGGAAGCATCTAGGGCACAGCCATCTTGCTTCACCTTGCCAAAAGTATCCAGAGCTTCTTGTGTCCTCCCAGCCTTCCCTAGCGTGTGCATCACAATTGTGTATGTGATAATATTTGGAGTGCATCCTTTTGTGTGCATCTCATCCAAGATACCATCAACCGTCTGAAAATCTTTCTCCATGCAGTACGCTTCTATCAGGCTGGTGTAAGTTATTACTGAAGGATTGAAACCATGTCGCTCCATCTCCTCCATCGTTTCACGAGCCTCCTTAAGCATCCTCGCTTTGCACCAGCCATGAACCAATGTGTTGAAGCTACTCTCATTGGGAGGAATTGTCCCCTTCAAAGCTTGGAAGGCACCTCTTGCACGCTTCACACTCCTCTCCTTGCACAATGTGTCCAAGAGCACATTCATGGCCTTTGTGTCCTTCGCCACCCCAAAGCGGTCCATTTTATGGAAAGCATCAATGGCGTCACTCCATCGGTTGGCCCCACAGAGCCTCCTCATCACCTTCGTCATGGTCGCTAGCGACACCAACCCCCCAATCTCATGCATCTGACTGATCAGACCGCACATCAAATCAAACTGCTTGAACTTGCCCAATATGTCTACCATCATGTCATATAAATCGGCAGAATGACAGTAGCCTGCCTGAGTTCCCGCCCACGTGAAGAACCCAAATGCGGCCACCCAATCATTGCTGAACCTGATCAGGACCTTGTCGACAAGGCGTGCTGACACCCTGACAGGGCAGCAGTCCATGGCGATCACAATTGCCTCTGGAGAAGCAAACCGGGATCTCAAAATCCTGCTGACCTCATCCACGTCGGCCTCAAACTCGGCGTCTTCATGGGATGCAGGGCAGCTGGAAAGGATCGACAGTGGTCCGGATCCTGCACCGGTAGCCGAGCAGCCTTGTTCTTCTGAGAAGTCTGATTTGGCTGGGAGCACAAAGTCATCATCGCCATTGCCGTCCAACCCGGAACAAGGATCACCATCCTTTGGATTCCTGAACCAGTCGGGCAGGTTGAACCCCACGGTAGAGAAGGATGCTTTCTGAAAACAACCATTTCATTTCTAGTTAAGAATTCAACAGATAATACACATAAGCATAAATGATACTATGTTTTTTTAAGGAATATTGGCAGGACGCTGCCGATTCATTTAGCAGATAAGATAAGGAGTTTAATATACAGAGTTTAAACCTCATGGATTCTCCCAGTCCCAGGCAGCCATGAGGTTTAGCGTTGATCTTACACTTAATTACATAAAAGATGGGTAATCCGATCTATATCATTATCATTATCCAAAAGAAGCCAACAGATAATCTGCAAATTTTGCATCATAACAATTAAGTGTTATTAGGTTTTCTTTCACCTTCGATATTCAACTAAATACAGTAGAGTGAATCACCTTATGCTTGCAAGTAAATTCCTCGAGCTGTGGCTGAAACGTCGCAAGCTGCTCCTTCATGACATCGGTCCTGACATTGGCCACATTCTCCCCGACCAGCCGGAACTGGTTCTGAAAGTTCCCAGCAATAATCTCATCTCATCTTCCAAACAGGGAAGAAAGAACACAGATCTCTCATTTAAAACAAGTATAAGAACTGCACATACGCGAGTAGCCACCGCATACTGCAAGCCAGCGATCCCAGGCCGCCTCCTCATGCTTCCCAGTGGCGACCACAGGAGCGAGGATGACGAGTTCGAGGCACCGGGATGGGACGAGCTTGGGCGGGATGGAAGGCGAGCTCGGCGCCCGTCGGGGAGGGAAGGGTAGCCGCAGTGGCGGATCCAGAAACGAACCAAGAGGGGGGCTAAATTATAGAGGGCAACAAATCGTACTGGCCATAGACTAACAGATATAACAAATATTGCTTAATTCACAAAGTGCGCAAACAAACAATACATTATTAATGATTAATGATAGAAAGGTACCTAATAAAGAGTTTCCGATAATTAAATGATCAAATATGTCTTAACAATTAGACACCACTTGGACCGGCATCACCAAATCTACATACAAAAATAAAATGGCAAAGCAAGATAATATTATGGATTAAAATACAGTGATAATATCTCATTAGTTGCAATCTTTGAAGCATCTTTCTTAGCATAATATCTTTTCATTGTAGTCTATTATTATGCCCTAAATATGAAATATAGCAAAGTGAAATCACTGAAAAACTGAATCATTGAATGTCTGAATCACTGGAACGTGGAATACTGAATGATACCTCAAGACTGGAGACAGACAGACAGTCACACCAGAGAGAGAGCAGAGTGCAGAGAGGAGCTGCCTGGCGGCCTGGCTGCTGCTCGCTGGGCGGCTGGGCGCTGGCTATGGCCTGTAGCCGCCGGCGCCACCAAAGGAGGAGCCGCGGAGGCCGGACTCCGGTCGGAGGGCTCAGGAGGGGGCAAGCGGAGCTGCGAAGCCGGCCAGCGACCGCGGAGGCGCGGAGGGCGGCGGCAGGGGCCAGTCGCGACCAGGGGTCGCGACGCGAGGATGGGGACGGCCGGACGGGGCGACTCGCGAGCGCTGCGCCGCTCGAGTCGTGGACCTTGGGGCTGGGGACGGCACGCGCAGGCAGCCGGAGGGGCTGAACCTACGTTTCCTGGTGTTTTTGGCTTGGCTTTGAAGAATTGCTCCCTGTTAATTCGGCCCAAGGGGGGGCTGCAGCCCCCCAGCCCCCCGTGCGTCCGCCCCTGGTAGCCGGCGGAATCGGCCGGGGCGAGTGTGGCGACAGCTGACTCCCTGTCCATCCTGTCGAAGCTGTATAACGTGCGTATCTTTAAAGCCCAGCAAAGCCCATCTAACATTCTTCGGACCGGGCCGTGAAAAAAATAATTGTCCACGTTGTCCGATTTCGCTCCTTGTCAAACTGTAAAACCGGATATCCTTACACTCTAAACTATTATAATACTCCTATATCGGATAGATCGTACTCCTGGCTAGTTTTGAAGATGGTTTTAGTTTACATGGCGTCATATTAGCCTCGAGGGGGTAAATTAGACTATTTCAAAAAGATTTATCATAAAAATACAAATATTTTTAGAAAACAATCTAATATTTCTTTTAAAAAACTATGCAATAAAAATCATAAATTTTGTATCTTAAAAAATACGAAATCAGTTTCAGATTTCCCTTAAAATTATATTCAATCTTTTAGCGTCTAACTTGGAAGTATTTGAATCTTCTATGGTCCTATTAATATTACTCCCTCGTCCCAAAATAAGTGTACTTCTAGCATTTGAAATTTGTTCCAAAATATGTGCACTTATAGGTATGGTCCACCTAGTTGTAATAGGGTTTTCTTTGGTTTCTCTACTTTCAAATCGCAAACACTACATGATAAAATAGGTTTATAGGGGTAAATATGTAATTTCAAAGTAACATTGATTTCCTCCAAGAATCCTAGAAATGTACTTATTTTGGGACGAACATAATATTTTCTAGTAGATGCACTCCTTATCTATTACAATTAGCCAAAGTTGATGTTCTAGACTACATAGAAGGACAAGTGACTTCAACGACAATACAAACATCACTTGATCATGTTACTGTCACCTTATCGTCAATTAACATATTTTGTGTTCATACTTATCGGTAGTTGCATGGTGCGTATGTTTTTTCGTTGAAGTTGTTTGCCATTCTCTCGTAGTAAATGCTGAGTTGTCATCCTTGACCGATTGTAATAAATAATGAGAACATCAACTAGCAAATAAACACAAAAAATAGACCATAGACGATTCAAATAACAGTGTTATTCTAAATGCTAAATAGTTAGTCACTTACCATCTAGCTTTGTTTGGGCTAAATAGCCACTTAAACAGGATAAATGGTTGATTAAATGAAAATAGCATATTATTGTGTAGCGCTTAAATCATGGGTAAATAAGCTAAATGTTCGTTTAGGTGAGCAGTGTCAAATAACTCTAGCACTCGAAGATAGAGTATGATTTTGAAAATAAAAAGGAAAAACTTGTTTAATATTTTTTTGAGCCAAATGCAACCTATTTTAGTTCCAATCACGCCTAAGGTCAAATTTTCTATGATTATAAACTAGATTTTAGGATTTTTAATTTCATAAAGTTTCTAAAAAATATTTCGATACTTTTTATGATTATAAACAAGGTGACAGCATAGGCTGTAGAAGTCGGCCCAGGTGGCAAAGTTCGGCGTGCAAAGTCACGCGGGTTCATTTTTCTTTTTCTTTTTTCTTCCCTTTGTGATTAACTCACCGTAGCTTCGTGCTTTCAATATTTTAAATAGCTAGACTAAAAATTATCAAAACCCCATTCAAAAAATCTGAAAAACTACTTCAAAATTATATGAATTCTAAAACAATGTAAAAAATATTAGATTTTATCTTCTGTGGTAGATTTTTTTTTCAAATAAATAATGATGTTCTCAGCGTTTTCTAACCTTTTAGCGTTAGTCAAGAAATGTCCAAACCGATCAAATAAAATTGCCAAGGCCGCCCTCTCATTGCAGTCTTGAAGATTGTGTGATGCCAACACAGATTTCATGTCAGACCACAGTTCACAAAACAAATTACAGGTTACGCAAGTCCATGGCGCGACGCTTCAAACACATTCGCACAATGATGGGGGCGACAGACAGCATGCAAAGAAGGCGATCGATGCCCGCTGGCCGACTAGTTGAGGCATGCATGGCCAGCCATAGTTTGGTGTGTACTAGCTTATTATTAACTTAACTGTAACTGAGGTCTCAACTGGCGAGAGCTAGCCTAGGCGACGCTGCGGTTGAAGCCGAAGCAGGAGCACCCTTGCGCGACGTCGTCGACGGGGGTCATGCCACCCTTGCCGCTGCTGGTGTCGATCTTCTCCAGCAGCGCCACCACCTCCGACATCTCAGGCCGGTTGTCTGGGTTCCCGTCCCAACACCGTGTCATGATGTCCGCCATCGCCCGTGGACAGCACCTCGGGATGTCTGGCCGGATGCCCTGCACACAACGTCCACTGATCAGAGCTAGCTCAGTGGTGACAGTGCCGACCGAGCAAACATATAATGCACGTGTGCACGACAAGCGAGCACCAGCTTGACGACGTGGTAGGAGATATCGGCGAGGCTATAGTTGGGGTAGGCCATGGCGCAGCAGTAGGTCTCCCACAGCAGTATGCCGAAGCTGTACACGTCACACTTGTGGTCGTACGGCTTCCCCTGCAGCACCTCCGGCGCCATGTAGCCCAGCGTGCCTGTCTGCCCCGTCACCTCGCAGCTCTGCGCCTCCACGCGTGCCACACCGAAGTCGGCGATCTTCAGTGTCCGCTTCCGGTCCAGCAGCATGTTCTCCGCCTTCACGTCGCGGTGCATGATCTTCTTCGAGTGCAGGTAGCTCAGCCTGCATGCGTGCATATCCCGTCATGACCGCGCGCCATCATCGATTGAGGACGATACCGTAGTGGTGTGTGCAGTGCAGGTGTAGCACTTCTCTACATCAGCGGCATGCAAGTTAGCACTCATGCATGACGTACTCACCCTCTGGCGAGATCGAGCGCGAGACGGACGACCTTCCTGTAGGAAAGCTTCTTGTCCCGGTGGTTGTACATCAGCGTCTTGAGCGTGCCGCCGTGTTGGAACTCGACCACGACGACGCAGCACTCGTTCGGCGTGGTGCGGCCGCCGCAGGAGGAGGAGGTCGACCCCTTCGTGGGGATCTTCAGCTGCGACGTCCCCATCGACGCGCCCACGAACTGCATGCCGCCGGCAAGTTTCAGTGATCCAGACGTGCACGGTGCAGTGAACCCAACTCGAACTCAAAGATGGCAGTGAATTTTGCTTACGTAACCTTAGTGACGTTGGGGTGGTCAAGCTTCTGCCAGACGGCGACCTCCTTCTCGAAGGCCTCGCGGTGCTTCGCCGCTGTGTCCTGCTCATCATGCCCCCAGTCCAGAACCTTCACTGCATCCCGAATACAATGCAATGTGTCAGGGATAACCCAAGTGCAGAACCTTCACTGCATCCAGATACAATGTTAGGGATATAATATCAAACGACTTTACTACCTCCTTTTTTTAGAAATCAATTTTTTAAAATTTAAATAGATGTATAAAAATTATTATCAACATGTATCTCTTAACATAATTATTATAAAATTTATTTTACTATTAAACTAATGATATTTATTACACATCATAAATATTATAGTATTTTAATAAAAAATGATTCCATGAAAAACTAGATATTAGAGTTATTTAGAATGGAGGGTCTATATAACTCAGTTAGAAAACCGGAGAAATTCAGTGTGGACCGTGGAGTATAGATCCTTCCTGGGCATTTCTCCCTTCTCATACCAAAATTTTAGGCTCTTGAACCGAAAAAATCCTACAGTTGTCCTATCTTCCTTCTTTTCTGATTTTGCTCCACACACCGGCAAGCTTCCTCACCAATCACCACACTTCCATGCCTACCCTCCAAGTGGCCTCACATCTTTTGCCACTCCTCACCACCCGCTAACTCATTCAAGTAAAAACATCTCCCCATGGTAAAAACATCTCCCCAGCGCCTAGTGTTTGGAGCAGCTTTCTTAGGCTTCGGTCAAACTTTTTTAGAGGAAAGTTAAGTAAAAACATCTCCCCATGGTAAAAATAAAAAAGATAAAATGTCTATAGTGCTTTTATCTTTTTCTTTCTTTTTCCATTTATGTTTTTCTTCTCTCCTATTTCTCGGTTCAACCCCCCGCACTCCTGCCTTCCTTCGTCCGCCTGCCTCGCTCCATCCGATTTTGCCCTGGCGCCTTTGTCCACCTCCACCTCGGCGTCACCGTTCGCTCCGCACCTCGCTCGCGCGGAGGAGGGACACATTTCAGGGCAAGGGCCTGTGTGCCTAGATGAAGAAGCCTATAGTAAAGTCACTCTTTTTTTTGCTTCCACAGAGGCTTCCTGTTCTAGATTGAGAGGGTGAATCGTGGGTAGAGTGGTGCGGAGACTGTTGATCCTGTTTGGTTGGTGGAGTCGTGGAGTTGCTCGCGGAGCAACTTCGAAAGCGCAACTAAACGGGACCTAAGTTGCCCTTGAGTTAGCCTTTCCCATCGGCCATTTTTCCAAGGTTGTTGGTACCTCTGCCTCCACCACCATAGATCTAGTAAGATTATGTTTTTCTCTTTTTTCTATTTCTACAAATTTTTGTTCATCCTAAAATTGTAAATGAACATGGATCCTTGCATCGTCTGTCTATTCATATTATTGGTTGAATCTTTTTGGCACTTTTGATGTTTTTTTTAACGGAAACACCTAATGGCATAGGGCTCATGGCATATTGTTTTCTACCTACTCTTCTCCTTCCTTTAAAGGGTGTGGTGCAGCCTCGCCGGGCCAACACCCATGGATACTCACGTACGTCGCCGGTGAGGACCAGACGTGATTATGGCCGTATGAACGGACGTACCTGCGACGTCGTGGCCGTCGTAGGTGCCGCGGTAGACGACGCCGAAGGTGCCATGCGCGATCTGGTTCTGGATGTCGAGCTTGGCGAGGTCGATCTCCCACTCGAGCAGCGGCGTCTCCGGCCGCGGCGACGCCGACCGCTGCGACCGCTGGTGCTCCAGCCATACCTGCGACCGCGTCTTCTCCAGCTGCACGTCCAGGTTCTTGAAGTCGATCTTGTCCGCCCGCACGTACATCTCGTTGTCGGCCCCCGCCCTCACGAACACCCCGGCGCCATTGCCGTCGGCCCCGTTGCTGCTGCGGTTCCCGAAGCTTCGGCTGCGGCCGCGGGCAGCGCCGCCGCCGGCGATGGAGGCGCCAGTATAGGACGACATGGCTGCACACGGCACGTATACGCCCGATAATTCTTGCCAAAAGAACCGAAGCTAGGTAAATTAAAATGCATGGTCAGATCGATCCGAATATATATAATGCATGCATTAGGGGTTTAGAGTCCTCGATGATGATGATGATTTCGCACAGCAGGAAGCAGCGAAAGGGAATGGCCGATGACGATGAGTCGGCATACCTGGCTGATGCTCGTCGCCGGCGAAGCGCCCCGACGAAGACCTGGCCACGGGCGCCGCCGCTCGCCCTGACGTGTCGCCGCTAGAAAAGAGAGGCCGAGGGAGAAAGAGAGAGAAGGGACGGGGTGATTGGGTGAAGGCGTGGAGCGGTACGCCGGGCGACGCGCTCGGGATTTCCGGAACCACTCCTGATCTTTTTTTTTTCCTTCTTCGATTCGAAATGGCAAAAACTATAAATACGTTTCAGATAATTTGTTCCCAATAAATGCTTGTATAAGATTGTATATGGGACAGGCTAGCACTCGGACGTGAAGACGGATGGCCGCGTTCAGACGCCCGCGCCTGCTGTGCGCCCGAACATACACGGGAGTTTTGTTTCGCGTGGGGACTGCACTACCGAAAACAGTATATTTGTCGAGTGCCTAAGGTTTGTCAAGTGTATTTCATCGAACACTCAACAAACATTCTATTTACCGAGTATTTTTAATTCAACACTAGATAAACATATAGCACTCGGCAAAACCCAATTTTACCGAGTGTCTAATAAAAAACACTCGGCAAACTACAATAAAACACTCGGCAAACACGGACATTCGGTAAAGTAGAGGCACGTGCGCTAGGCGTGCGGCGGCCGTTGGGTGCGCCGCCCTGCCGTTATAACTTTACCGAGTGTCCGTTAGAGACACTCGACAAAGACAAGATTTGTCGAGTGTTTTTTATTGACACTCGGCAAACTGATATTTTTGCCGAGTGTTTTTTATTGACACTCGACAAAATGATGTTATTGCCGAGTGTTTTTTATTGGCACTCGGCAAAATAATAATTTTTTCCTCTCCTGCCCTCCAAACTTTTTCTACTCTCCACATACAACATGTGGTACTACATATTAAAATTTGGCATATTTCTCGATCTGTTTGCTATATTTAATTAATTTATTGTATTTAGAGGAATTTTTTTGTTTAAGTAAAATTTGAACTGCAAGTGATTCAAATAATGGAATAAATTGAGTGGAGAAATCATGTTCATGTTATTGAGTCCATTTTGGGGCCTTGCTTGAGAAATGAAAAGAAATTTCGAACATTTTGTTTAGGAAACACGACCACGAACATGTAGCCGAATGATTTTAAATTCTAAAAGCAAACGAAGTCTCGAAAATAATGAGATTTGTCAAGATCTCATGATATCATCTCGCGTGGAGACTGTGGAAAAAATTGAGAAGGTTTCGCACAATTTATCACGTCGACCTTTACAAACCGAAGCATCTCCAAAGAAGAATCGAAGCGTTGAGAAGGATCCGATAAGATTTGGAGTCAAAGTGACGATCGAATTGGGGTTTGACTTCAAAACTTTTTTTATAGGCAATAGACAACATAGATTGGTTCACGTCAAATTTTGGTAATTTTTCGGATCCGTTTGATAATTTTAATTTATTAACTGCAATTATAGAATTTTAATTGATATATATTGAATTTGAGTTATAACTCGCATGAAATAATGGATTAATATTCGTAGAAAAATCAAATATGCATTGTTGAGTGAATTTGACAAGGTATTTACAAATTACATCGTAACAAATTTAGTAAAACACGTTACGAAGAAGGATGATGGGTGGGCATGAAATATCAATTTATTTTGTCGAGTGTTAACTGTACGACACTCGACAAACAATATAGTCATCGAGTGTCATATACTGGACACTCGGCAACATACCCAAGCCGGCCCCACTTACCAGTACCGTACCGGTTGGGAAATTGAAAAAAAAATGCCGAGTGTTTTGAATCGGCACTAGGCATACCTTTACTTTGCCGAGTGCCAAATCACGGCACTTTCGCAAAGCGCTTTGATTTTACCCAATCCGCCACACACATACTCACACACACTCACACACTCACCCGCACACACACGCACACCGGACCGCCCTCCGCGCCCGCCGGAGCGCCACCCACCACCCCGCGCCGTCGGACCACCATCGGCCGCCGGGCCACCACCCCCCGCAGCCGGGCCGCCACCCTCCGCCGTCGGGTGTATTCTAATGGACACTCGACAAAGTAACCATAAAAATCTGGTCGTTGAGCGAGTGTTTACCGAGTGTTTTGGGCGTGACACTCGGCAAAGTGTCTAAACTTTACCGAGTGTTTTGCGTTGGACACTAGAAAGTTTGCCGAGTGTTTTGGGCTTGACACTCGGCAAAGTTGAGAAACTTTATCGAGTACTTTTCCGTCGTGCACTCAGCAAAAGGGCCATCACCATGCCATCCCGTTAACTTTTTTTTTGCCGTGAGTTTATTTTTGCTGAGTGTTTATTGACACTCGGCAAACTATCTGTCGAGTGCGCGATAAAAAACACTCGGCAAATAGCTGTTTGTCGATACTGTAGATGCTGTGTTCTCTATGTCGAGTGTTTTTAAGCCTTTGTCGAGTGCCCCTAGCACTCGGCAAAGCTACTATATCCCGTAGTGCTGCCCACGCTCGCTCCACTTCCCACATCGTTTGTGCCCACGCGGGTCCTAGTCATCTACCCCGCAAGTGGATGCGCGCCGCGGATGCGTTTGCCGTCCTCAGGGGGCTCGCACGGTGACCTACACGTGCCCAAGCAGCTGTGGTGGGCGACTGCAGCAGGTGGGTCCCATTTCAACCTGTGCAACACTAGATCTACTTTGTAACATCCAGATTAAACAGTTGTAACATATATCCGAAACAACTGAAACACTTACAAAACACCTGAAAACACTTGAAACGCGCGTGTAGCCATTGCAAAACATATACAACATCCAGATAAAACACTTGCATCCACATCTACTTTTGCAACATCCAAATGAAACACTTGAACATACCTCTAAAATATCTGAAACACTTGAAACATATGCTTGCAATATTAAACATACACTGGCAACATGCATATATAGCCATTGCAACATATGCAACATCCAGATGAAACACTTGAAAACATACGTTTGAAACACCTGAAACATGACATCGCCTGCGGCCACGGCCTACCTATTGGGGATCTGTGGTAGCGAGCAAGAGGCGCTCGAGTGCAGTGGAGAGGAAGGACGACGACAACCACCATGGAGGACCCAGTTGTTCGCTTGTGAAGGAGCCCCGCACCATGGAGGAATCGCTAGCAGCGAGCCCCCTCCCCACCCCCTATGTGGAGGCACCCCATCACGGAGGAACCCCCATGCCAAGGAGTCCTCGTCTACTTAGATCTAGGCGTGCTCTAGCACCTCCTTGTGTTGCCGCCGCCGATGACATTGCTTGGAGGAGAGATCCAGGTGAAAGGGAAATGCCTGATGAGATGGATGAGTGCTGCGAAGAGAGACAAGGACAGAGTCATAAGATAGATGAGTAGTGCATGCTGATTTTTAAAAGACTATCATCAAAGAGGGCGGAAGAGAGAGATACATATAGGATGAGTGGTGTGGAGGCAGAGAGATGATAAGAAGGTGTGTTGGTAGGTGTGTATTATACGATGAGTGGTGTGGAGCCAGGGAGGATAAGAACGTGCATTGGTGGATGTGTATTAAATCGATGCGCGGACCTCGAGTGAACCGTCCTATAAAATCGTTGTCTCCGGACATCCAACTATAAGCATTACCGATTGTATATTCTCCTTATAAAAGTTCACACATCCGATTCCTTTTAAAAGTTAGATTGGATGCGATTCACTCTTGCTTAGGAGCCTCATCATCAGTATCTTTTTTAAAACTATAACCGAGAGTGTACAATATCTGATATCGCGATCTTGCACAAATCAGATGGGATCATAAGAAGAAGCTCTCGTGTTGTCTTCTCATCATCATCCCTCTCTCCTGGCATGCCTTAATTTCTCTTCCATTCCTTATTAGATTGAAAAATTAATAATGTATACAGACAAATCTGGGGTACCAAATACTACCCAAATGGATGCGACGCATTCAAACATTTTTCAGCAAGGATACACACAATTTATTGCCCTTGGAACCTTCACCCAGCACTGTGGCGCCTTGTCGAGCGAGGATAGCAAGCATGGATGTGTGTTTGCTCCCCTCGCTCAAGCTCCTCAGGGGCTGCGCTGGCAAGGTTTGCCTCGCTCGCGTGAGAGAGCCCGGATCGGCTCGCCCAAGCGAGCAAGGTTCTCGTTGCCTGCGCTGGGCGAGGCGAGACAAGGTGTTGCTGGAACATTATCACCCATGTCACTCGACCATAATAAGAAAAGTAGTTGTAGATACGTACTAAATAAATGAGAAGTCAACCACATATATTTCAACTCCCCATTCGGCCACCACTACGGTTAAGGCTATGTTTGGATTTTATAGTCTAAAGTTTTATTGGCTAACGACTATTCCATCTTGCGGTCAAAAAAATGACTATTCCATCTATCCTGTAATATACTGTATTCTAAAAATTTTGAGACACTTAAGGGCATACTCAAATAACACGTATACCCATGGTTAAACCGAATAATATAGTGTTTCCTCAGATTATAATTTTCTTTTCAACAATTTTTTTCTAAATCTGAGCATAGACATCACATAAATACAATATATTTTAATATAAATTTTAGAAGTTATAATGCATTGTATTATAGGATGGAGGGAGTAAAACTTTAGACCACTTTATCTCACTCGTGTAATCTAAAGCTTTTGTGAGGTAGTCTAAACTTTAGACCTCATGTTTGGACTTTGGAGCCTCAAAAGCTAAAATAGTCTAAAATTTAGTGGTTAAATAAATGAGAAGTCAATTAGGGTCGAAACAGTGTCTAAATGAGAAGTTTAGTGAGTAAACTTTAAACCATAGGATCTAAATAGGGTCTAAAATCGATTTTGA